ACCATGAGAAAATCAACTCATGGGTTTCCTTTTCTCTCCTATATGAGTATGGGGCTCCGCTTGGCGGCCCTTCGGGCCGCCGGAGCTCCGCTATTAATCATAATAATATTATTAAAATCAATGTGTTTGAGAGATATGCAAGTGAGCTTGAGAAAAAAATAAACATATAAATTTTTCATTCACTTTTTTATTCTGTAATAATAAGTAACATTCCAATCTCCTCATAAAAAGTTTTTAAGATGGTGAAAATTATGCTGATGTGATGAGACTAAAATTTAACATCTGAGTATGTCAAAGCACTTTAAAAGGGGATTTATGTAACTAATTAAAGATGTCGCTCAACTCTTGCTTCATTTCAGCTGCAAGAACAGGCATGAACTGAGGCCATTGATTCCTTTACTTGTCTATTTTGTTCTAAAATTCATTCTCGTCAACCTACAGTGAACATGCTTAACACGAATCAAGACGGAGCTGGATTAACAAGGACCTGACTTAATTTAGATTCAATAGCAATTAGAATTAACTAAAATTTTAACACCCTTAAACCTTCATTAAATTTTCATTATTTGCTGTCCCCACTAATCTTCTCCTATTATTCCCTCCTCCGTAAACATAATACTGTAAACAAAAACACATACAATAAGAGATTTATTAAATAATTTCACAACAAAATATTGCACTTAAAATATTTGAGTACTCATTTCTGTTAGGAATTCTCAGACTTTAATATTTATATTTGTATACAATATTTTTATTCTCTTTTACTTTAAGTAATGATGTTACCAGTAGTCATTACTAGCAAAACATTATCGCAATAAACAGCCTGGTTATCAGTTTTTAATTTCATTGTAATGTTTCAAAGAAACTATAACTATGTCTAATAAAAAATATTGTGTTCCAGTGCTCTCAGGAATCATGATTAAAATATGAAATCATTTCTGGTACTCCACAGAGCGCAATAAAAATCTTTTTAAAAATAAATATTTCATTTGGCTCAACCAAACTTCGTCAGCCACATGACAATGCATCAGCCACAAAAGCTTTGTGGCTGATGAAGTTTGGTTGAGCTGAATGAAATATTCCATTTTTAAAAAGATTTTTACATTTGCACTATCTGAGTACCAGAAATTATTTTATATTTTAATATGACTATGTCAGCACATTGTCACGCTGAAGTAGAACAAGCAACAGCTGCAAAAGAAAACCATCAGTTGATTCGCTTGAGAAGTATATTTAACATTCCAGTCTAACTTGGATTATTATAGGAGAGTTCACCAAAGATTGTGTTGTTCCAGAAAATTAAATACGGGCAATATTCCCCTTAATAAAATAGCATACATGACAACACACAAAATTTCTGATTACAGTTTTGTCAGGCTTAGAGGGCATTTTTTTGTGAGATCACCTGAGGACCTCTGAAGATATTTCCAAACTAAGTTATTAAGCCAAGGACTTCCAACCTTTGTATTGAATTGTATTTTTTTTTCTCCACTTCAATATTGGAATACAGCAGTGTTATACCATTTCCTAAGAATTGACCTTAAGTCCTCCATGCCCAAAAATATCTTTTCAAATACTTTCTTGAATGTCACCCAAGAACTTCTGAATATTTTCACATGTTTGAAGGTGGGCGGTCCTCCAAAGATATGGATTATGTCTTTATCACACCTTCGAACAAGTTATTTACGGATAATTACGTTTTCTAAATTATTTAAGGTTTAATTACAGAATTTTCAATTATTTGTCTTCATTGCATAATTTCTGCAAACTTCAGAGAACAGGCATTATTACCTTTAAAACACACTCCATGTAATCAACCATTAACTTTTATATGATTATAAATAAATTCCTATTGTCGATGTCCATGATGGCAATGATGATGATAATAATGATGACAATTTTCACAGAAAAATAAAAAGTTAACTGCAGGAACGTTCTACCGGAAACACGCCTTTCATTTCAAAATTGTCTGCAAACTGCAATTGATGCATCTAAAATTTCAGGGCATAATATTATTAACGAGATAGCCCCCTCAATTTGAAGTGTCACTTACGATGGAAAAATCTGTATGGGTTGCCAGGGTAAAAGCTTACAATTTTTACAGCGCTCTGTCATGCAAAAAATTACTCCGAATTATCAGTAGAACATGGACTCAAAGATACTTAACCACGTCCTAAATTTTATGCCTGTTTCGCCAAATTTTATCTGTACTACGCCTTGAGGCATTAAAAAATAGCATAAATGGACAGGAACGCGTGTTCGTAGCATCTCGTCGCATTGTCGCCTGAAATATGCACATTTTTGGCGGATGAGCAACATTTATCAGTTGCTGTTTTAAAACGAAAGTAACGAAACCAGAACAGTATTGCCTATTGGAAAATTAAAATGACACCACAAGCTTTCGTCAGTGCATACTTTATAAATTAAAATGCCATCTCTTTATTAAACGTACTAAAATTTTCCCAAAAGATGTAATAATCGAACTCTAAACGAGCGACTGCAGCTGCTTCGTTGAAAAGGTAAATACTTACGGCGTAAGGTAGGCTCTTAATTCAGTACAAGCTTACTTATAACGAAATACCCGCCGAGTGGGCTTCGCACATACAAATTGAAATTTGTCATTTCACCGCGGGTGTTTCTCACTTCGAAGGCGATCATCTCCAAGTTTATAAAATATTTATCGTATTCAACACTATCCAAACCAATGTTTTGTTGGGAGTGCTTGGCCTCAGTTCTTTCTTACCCTAATTAACAGACGAACAGAAAAGAGAGAACGGAAATTATCACATATTCGGCTCGCGCGCGCGGCTTGTCATAAGACTAACACACATGTTTCATGTGCGTTGTCCAGAGTTCGTTACAGACGGGTTTTGTATTTAAAAACGCAAGAATGATCGTTATGCTTTTGATCTTACCATCCTTTCTGTAGTAGAGGATTTCCACGTGCTTTTCCTCCTGTCCCCTTAGCGCTTCCTTCACTTCCCTGGCCGAGAATTCGTTCGTGTTTTCGCCGCAAAGGAAGTCGCAACTGCAATGTTTTTGTACCAACTCCGCCCGGCTGTATCCAGTTAACTCGCAAAATCCATCGTTGCAGTAAATGATGGGAAGATCGGCCACTTGAGCGTTTCCCAGGACAAAGTTTCGGTCCGCTATAAAAGCATTATGAATTAAAAATAGCAGCTTGCTATTGTACAGCGTCGTAGAAGCAGAACGCTTTTTAAAAATAAAAAATTGAGCCATCGATATGAGATGATAATTTAACAGACTTACGTGATCCGTCGAATTTCTTGATAATTGTTTGAATAAAGATGTTTTGAGGAGCCACGAGGCCTCTTTTCACGGGCATAGCGATCAGAAAAACCACAATATACCCACCAAATCGTCCGCTACTACTGCTCGAAGGCAAATGTGTTTTGCACATGTATTTCGTTCCAAATCGCCGCCTTCTGATTGGCTATCGCGAAATTTGTGTACTTGGAATGTAAACATAGGCAAAAGGACCATTTCAAAGTTTTTCATTGTTACTGCGAGGTCCCAGTGAAACTCGCAATAAATATTTTAATTGCTTGTTCATTCATACGGAATATAGTATTAAAAACTTAATGTAACGGTACTTGAAGGACAAAAGTATTTCATATCAGCATTTGTGATGGGATTATGGTAATATGTTGGGCGCCTTCTGAGTTGATGATTTGAAGTGCTATGATATTGTTTTTCCAAAGGCCGGTCTACATAAAATGTGTGTCTCAAAACAATCACTCTAGCGCCCAATTTTAACATGCTATGAAATTATCATACTTATTCTTTTCATTTAATTATCATAATGAAATATCCATGACTTTGACCGAATAAATACATGAAGCCCAGTGTACAATCAGAAGTGAAAGTCATTAACAACAACCCTTGCTTTAAAAGTTTCGTGACACTTAAGACAGTTTGCTTTTTCTCCTAAGTAAACAACGCGACGAGAGTACAATTTGCCCTGTCTTTTCCTGCCTATTTACAAATGATTTCAGCGTAATCCTCATAATACATGGTCAAAAGCGGTTTCCCGAATCAGGCGGACCAATCCTTGCTTGTGACATGCCGTGACTGATGTGTATGCCGCTCTTAACCGTTATCGATGTACAGCCATATTAAAAGACTAAAGGATCTTACAACCGTATTAGCGAAATATTGAATACGATAAAGAGTCTGACAGTCTTAACTGCAGCGTACTTAATATTTATATTCGCATTTTTTAAAATTCTAGACAGTGTTTGGTAAGTAAATACTAATTTATGTAGTCGTCTTGGTACATTTTATTCACAGAAAATTTGTCTGGAAGCCTCTTTCCAAAGCGATCCATGCCAGCCACGCGATTTGTTAGATGAAGGACTTTAAAGTCAATTTTTATATTAAAGCACTATTACTGATGAGGTATTTGTTTCTACAGCCAAGCGTTCTGTCAGATACATGTAACTATGGTTCAAATGACGGTATGGGTGGACCCTAATGGGCATCATTACAGCAGCAAATTTAAATCTGAGGCGCTTAAACACTTCTATAAAATATTCCGTTCACGTAGTCCGCATTATATTTGACAATTGACGGCATTTTCTTTCAATGAATAAATGGGGGAAATTTCAAAAATTGCTTTTGTTGCATCTCCTACACGCATCTATCGCGATTACGCGCGCGAAGTCACGCAAGTAAGCTCAGGAGATCTGGAACCTAATCCGAATCAAAATGGCCGACGAAGCGAGTGGTTACGTCCAAGCACGTTTTACAACGCAACAAAAACGGTAAAGGCGGAATTTTGCAACTATTGGTCATGACACTTGATATAGCATCATAATCTGATTTTGCGAATAGTTTAATATTCGAAATTGAGACTAATTTAATCCAAGATCTTGCTGATATCTCGAGCTCAATATAAACCTGTGATAACCTAAAATTTGTTCTTAGGCTTAAGTTACTTAAAAGTTAATGAAACCTTAATCAAAATGCCATATGATAATATGCCTGATTGTATTTTTCAAAAGGCCTTTCATGTTGTCATTTTCAGAAAGTAAAACGAGGTTTATAATTGACATTCTTATTAGCGGAGCTCCGGCGGCCCGAAGGGCCGCCAAGCGGAGCCCCATACTCATATGGGAAAGAAAAGGAAACCCATGAGTTGATTTTCTCATGGTT